TCTTAATGAATAGAGGGATTTGTTCTAATAGTGTTTGTAAATAGGATATTATGTCTGCATCTTGTACAGCAATTAACCACTAGGAAGACAGTATGTAATGCGTTAATTATTGAAACTGTCCTACCAATTTGATTTGAAACTGTCTCATTGCTATTTGTCTCTCAATAAAATTATGGGAAAAAAAAAGAAAAGGAAAGACAAGAACAAAAATTTCAGATTTCTTGAAAGCATGCGGTAATATTCAGTCATACAGCCAACCTTGCAAAACTCTTATCTGTTAATATGAGCAATAGATTTGATGATAAAATAGATAATATATCAATCATTGTTAATCAGCTATTCTCGTTTTGAAAATCTGTAACATAGGTATTGTTGTAGGTTATAAAAAAAAGAAGCAGCACACATTGAGAAGACTAGAATGACAGGCATTCCAAGCATGGCCCTAGTATTACACATTGCTATCCCCGATGCAGTTGCTTAGTTCACAGCTATCAGCATATAGAGTTAGTCAGGGTGAGAATCCTACCAAGTAATTTCTAGTTTCAAAAACCTGATGGAGACTCTCAGGACCATTGCCTTAACCATCTCGTGTATATAAATGTACGGTTTTGCCCCTGCCGTGTTTCCAAAAGCCTGGCTTCTCTGTCAAAGGCGCCTTGACTCAAACTCAGGTGCAAGACGGAAGCACTATTTGGCAGTGCAGGTTGGTCTCCAGTTCTGCAGGCCTGCCTGTGTGATCACTGTCACCTTTTTCTTCCTGTCATTCACATGCCCTTTGCATGCTGACTACGGCAGATGGTCATACGCACAGGAGAGGCAGGGTCCTGACTGCTGTGAGCTAGCTTGGGAGGCAGTGGAAGTGGAGAAGCCTCCACCCAAGCTCCCCAGCATCTGCTGAAATGCCTGGCTCATTCCATGCTGCTTAGATCTCTGAGGGTGGAAGAAAGGGGCTGTGGAAACACTCAGAGCCAGGACCCCAGTTAGAAGTCCTTCGAGCAAATCTAAGTAGTCTGTGACTGAGCTGGACACCTGGACTAGCTCACCTTAACACGTTTGTTCATTTGAGCAGCGTACCTGGCTTCACTGGAGGAAACCAAGTCAGCGGAGTCGCTGACGGTGTGTATTGATTTTATTTCACTCTCGTCGTAAACATAACCGGGAAGGGCTCTGAGCAGACCGATAGATGCCGCAGTGCACCCCGGTCCCCTGGTCTCATGGCGTCCTGCTCGCCACCCTGTGCCCCAGCCACGCCCCACCCCACTGGACACAGCCTTTGACATGCAATCTCTTGGATCAGTTACTCACAGCTGAGCCTCACTTCCTTAAATACAAACACAGCCAGCTGGCAGATCCCACATGAGCAATTGTCTTCTCAACCTGAACGCTGAACTTACTTAAAATAAGCACACACGGGTTGGCATGGTATAAATTACACTGTCTAAGGGTATTTTCTGAGCTGTAGTAAAATTTCTCAAGGAAAGTTAGCAACATACTGACACATCATTTACAAATTATTTTACCCACCCAAGTGCCACCTTATCACTGTGTTCAAGAAAAAGGGGGCCTAACAAATACACCATTTGAATTAAGAAATAAATGTTGCTTACTCACAGACTCATCCAACGGGGACCTCACACCCCGGGCCAGGTACAGTTCTTAT